GGCAGTGTTTGTGCGAATACTATCGAGAAATCGAAAGTTTGTTATTGCAGATAATGAGAAGATCATCAAAACAACTCGGCGGAATTTGGAACATGAACTTTCTGAGTTCAGATTTCGATTTCCGTTTCACACTTCCCCTACGGACAAAGCTTTTTTAGACCAGGTCTACTCAACTATTTTCACCAAAGATCCGCATACAAAACTTCAAAATTATTTGGGTCCGGTCTTTCCAGAATTTATATATCGGCATCCTTAAAAACGCACACTTCCTCGACCGGCTAATGATTATTAGCTAATTAAAATTGCTTATTATGGTGTTATAGTTCTTTTCATATATATTCAAAACTATAAAAGTCATTTTATTAAAGAAAACTTCAAAAGTGGGGCTAATGATCTAAAATAAAGAATTAGGTGTGGTCCAAATCAAAGACTCGAAAGGTGCGTATTCGGACCGCGGACCGCCAGTTGAGTAGCCCTGCTTTAGACATTAAACTACTGATTCGCCATAGGCGTAGCCTGGAAGGCCTATGCTCGTTCTTCGAAAAAAATTTCAATATTTTTTGAGCTATTTTGCGGCATTTTCAGTGAGTGTCTTTTTCAACCCCAATTTGCTCTATTCTTGAATGATTTGCTGAGAACCCGACGTTACCTGGCCTACTATCAATAATCCAATTGATCTTACATGGGCTACCTATTTTTGAAACACTTATTATACTTTATTACGTCCTCCAACTGGTCTTGGGCGAGGCGTGTATGACCTTTGATCCCAACATGTTTATATCCGCAGTGGTACGCTTAGTGCAAAGCGACGTAGTGCATCAAGCACTTCTCTAAAAGGTGCAGAAATCATCAAAACAACACGGCGGAATTTGGAATCTGAACTTTTCGAGTTTAGATTTTGAGTTTCGTTTCACACTTCCGAGGACATGGCTATAGGCCAGGATTGCGCAACCTTCTAATACGGGAGGGCAAGATAAAAATAACTGGGTGTTACGGCGGACCTTTATCGGACACGTCAGTGTACATAACGATCGTTCCACTATTATGTTGTTGTTCTTGTTAGTATTATTTTTCTCTTTCGTCATGATGAAATCGCTTTTCTCTTCGAATACTGGACCAATTGCTTTGAAATTTTCAGTGGTTAAAGATTGATTTTTTTGCCAGAAGGCTATTACTTTTACTTATTTCAGCTTCTGACGTGTCCATATATTTGATCACAGCTCTCTTATTTTACTTAGGCTTGTTTCACGGGCTATTCATACCCTGCTGCTTGAATGTCAGCCCATTGATCTATTCGAAAGTCATTTAATTGCCGATGCGGACCATTTATTCGTCACTAATGACATAGGGCAGAGCACTTCAAATTTGTCGGCCTATCAGGAACTCTTTATTCATTTTTCGATACTCCTGAAGTATGCGCACCAAGATGTTGCACAACCTGAACCTTGTACACAACCTGAGTTCAGGTTGTGCGCCATCTTGGTGCGCACACTTCAGGAGGTCCCATTTTTTACCATGTATAAAAAACTAATTTATTTATTCAATCTTCAATGTATCTTTAGCTAGTATTATGCGCAAGTCACACTCCGGCTTTTGTACGGTTTGAGTAGTTTATAAGTATCTATAAATAAGTATTATATTAATAATAACAAGAGAGCTGTGCTCAAATATATGGACACGTCACAAGGTTTCGCTATTTTTTTTCTGACACATAAAAAACGAATCTCTTGAAGTCCACAGAAATTTTTGAAATAAGTAAAAGTAATAACCTTCTGGTCAAAAAATCAATCTTTAAGCACTGATAATTTCAAAGCAATTGGTCCAGTATTCGAAGAGAAAAGCGATTTCATCATGACGAAAGAGAAGAATAATACTAACAAGAACAACAACATAATAGTGAAACGATCGTTGTGTACACTGACGTGTCCGATAAAGAAGATTTATTGCAGATCCCCAATTTGCAATACTACAGCAAATACTAAGCCAAATCTCTTCCCAAGAACGACAAAATTGCCTTTTTAGTAGGAATTTATTAGTCCCGTAGTATGTGTACCAAGTTGGAGTTAGGCCATAAATGTATTCCGATTTTCCCTACTTTAGTTCTATTACGAGTGTGGAGACTGTCTGTGTTAGCCACAAGTGAATATACCCCCTGCCCATCGGTTTTAGTCCTTTCACACAACTTGATGTAAAGTAGACGAACAAAATTGGTAATCTCCATATTGGTACACACACTTCTGGAGCGCCAGATAATTGTCTCCCGTGGGTAAACGTTGTCCTGAACGATTTCAATTTGGCTCTACTACGTCACCAGGTGGTCATACAACAACGACGTAGCTTCCAAATAATAGCGAATTGACTGTTTCTGTACAGAATTATGCACATCCGTTATTATGTGGATAGTAGAAACAAGAGAACAATGCTTAAATATATGAACACGAATACCAAACTTAGATCATTTACAGTGCCGGTAATCAGATCGCTGAGATGTATGTGTGCGCTCCAGAAGTATGTGTACTAATTTTGTTTGCCAGCTTTACATCAAGTTGTGTAAACGGACTGAAACCTATGGTCAGGGATTACATTCACTTTGCTAACTCAGACAGTCCCCGAACTCGTAATAGAACTAAAAAAAGGTAAATCGGAATAAAATTATGGCCTAACCCTGATCTGGTACACATACCTAACCTTTTTTTGTTTGTTTTATATTTTGCCCTATTTCTCGTGATGTATTTATATTGTGTTGACAAATAATTGTTGATTGATAATAGTTCTCTATAGCGAAAACAACGAGTTTTAACCATTAAAAATTTCAAAGCAATTGGTCTAGTCCTTAGAATAAACGATTTTTTTACAACAACAACATAATAACAAAACAATCCATAGGTTTTCGTGTCCAATAATTAGCATCGGCGAAGCTTTGTTCTATGTCCATCTTCCCGATTCAATTGATTCTGCCAAGGAGAATTAGGAGTCCTGACTGAAAGATCCGCTGAGTACTATATGATAGAACAATTTGTAATATAGAATGGGATTTACATATTTATCCAGGGAAAAGTAAAGGGTAAAAGACGACTTAAGCATGAGGCGAACCACAGTCTCAATCCCGTTTACCCTTCCTTTTTTGGGTACGGGATTATTTAGCCAGTTATATTGTTCTCAGATGCATGGACTAACTAGGCTTGTAAATTAAAGACAGGACTCTTAAATCAGGGGTCACCAAACTTTCCTAAGCCGAGGGCTACTTTCTGGGTACAGATTAAGCCGAAGGCTACCAGTTTAATGTACACTTCTGAAAAAGTCAGTTTGCTGGATTAGGCTTCAATTATTGATAATTACTGGTATTTAGTCAAGTAGAGACACTAATAAACTTTAGGATTCCTCAGGAAATGAAACGATTATAACAACGTTGTAATAAATTCCTATCAATGACAATGGCGCGTAACTTGACACTGTAACTATGAGCGGGACTTGCAGATCATCAAGAAGGCGTTTTCCGTGTTTGTTCCTGGTGGAGTACATGTCACAAAATGTTGATTCACAAAGATAGGTTGAACCAAACAATAGTCTCGTAAAATAAGATTGCTGTATGATTTGAATCGCAAGCTTCTTCTGCGTACTGCGCTGACCTGTGGATAGTTAGCGTGGTACATTGCGTGATTTCATTCCGCTTTGCCGTCGTTACAATCGTCGCGCAAATGAGACAATTCAGACACACGCAGGCTGTTTTCACAGGGTTAAAAATAAATCCACCTCCTATTCATCGTTAAAATGGTTGGTTTTCTCTCGCTTTTCTTTGGAATCAATAATTGTTTTATTGCTACTCCACAAACCAACGGACTGGAAAAATGGAGTCTTACGGAGCAGTTCTTACCACTTCATGGCAGCTCCTGTCACGAACGAACCGATGGCAGCTCTTGCCATGGTTTATGACGCTATTACCGGTCTATTCACAATGTCATGTACCAGATTAGTGTATCATGCAAAATTATATCTACTCAAACCTAACCCCAAATCCATCATAACTGTATCCATAAGAACAAGAGAGCTGTGCTCAAATATATGGGCACGTTAACCAGAGCGAAGCAGTATTTACCTTTGACGCCACCGGTACCCACAAAAATTCCGAGTTTCGCGTAGAAATAATTTACAGAATCAAACCGGACAGCCAGTGTTCCCATGGAAAAATAATACAGCGAAATTTTAGACGAAATATCAGATTTCGTGCGAAATTTAGAAATAAATAAAAGTAATAGCCTTCTGGCAAAAAAATCTATCTTTACCCACTGAAAATTTCAAAACAATTGGTCTAGTATTCGAAGAGAAAAGCAATTATTCAATGATAATGACGAAAGAAAATAACAATAACAACAAAATTTTGAAACGATCGTTATGGCCACTAAACGTGTCCAAAAATATTTGTCCCCGTCAGGGGCAGCCCTGTCTTTACGGCCGACCTGCCGTGGTTACGACAGCAAAATTTTACCTGCCATTGGTTTTTAATTTGCTGCCGCGGCAACGGTAGTTCTCCATTGGTATGTGGCATGCAGCTAAAAAGTCAGTTGCCGTGGGTTTGGCCATAGCGGCCATAATTTGGGAATACAATCATAGTTTTGCGGCAGCTTTAGATGCCACAGAATACTTAAAACTGCACTTGAAAAAACGCGGATTTGTGGAAGGTGATATCTGTGTGATGTCATAATTGGAAGACTATTAAATAACCCGTCACATTACTGAGGTCAAATCAGGTTTGTTACAATAATTAATTTAGTGTCATTCCCAGTTCCCATATAAGCGTGATTTATACAAAAATAGCAGGACAAAAATCAATTGATGTAGATTAATCATAAGCGCTGTTATTCAGCTTATTTCAGAACGAACCTGCGGGTGACACATGTGGTCTTCACGGGCGACTTGGTGCCCGCGGGCAACGGGTTGGTGACCCCTGCTTAAATGGACTAAAATCTCAAACCAACTTTATTTTTCATTAATAAAACAAGTTTTCAGACATATATTTTATTGCAAATAGAACATTTCAAAGCAAATTCAAACATTTCAGAGCGAATTCAAACGATTATGGCTCAAAAAGGCTGATAATGAAGAAATAGCAAAGAACTCATATTCATTCATTAGGGTAGCAGACTATTAGAAAACACTAGTTGATAACATTAACGAATGAAAAGAGCGGGAAGCACTTTATTCAAATATTAAAATGTGACATCATAATGTATATAGTGACATCATAATTTATAAAGTGGCATCATAATCTATAAAGTAACGTCATAATGTGTTTTATTTTCAAGTGACGTCATAATTTCTTAAGTAACGTCATAATTTATAAAGTGACGTCATAATTTATAGACTGACGTCACTATGCAAAAAATTATAACAGGATAATGCGAATGCTTAAGAGGGGGCCCTTAGTTCAATGAACACTCGCCCCCTGAATTCCTTCGCAATGAATTTATGCGGAATTTAATTCAAAATTTGATTTTTTTTAAGTGATGAATTACAGTGGGAAAAAGGTGAATATATTTTAGCATGAACTTTATATGCTTTATTCTTTCATAGCTAGGGATTTTGAATAAAGCAGAACCGTGGTGCGCGATTTCGATCACCGACCTCAAATTATGTCAATTTTTTCTTTGATTACACAAGAAGCATTGTGAACATAAAATTAATAATATATTGCGAAATACTTCAAAGTAAATTATTCGGTCACAATAATTTTATTATAAATAAAGAAAAATAAACAATAGAATATGACGAAATAATACGTTTGAAACAAACACAATGCACAATACAGAAATGAAAAATATGAGAGAATAACAAAACAAAAAACGAGAGAAGATTGTGATTTATGTTGGAATCCGCACAACTGTTTGGAATTCCAGTTCTTGTATTAATGGGGGTGGGGTCGTTAAAATCCCGTTTTATATATCCAATTTCCACAAAACCAGTGTGATTTGGGGAAATCTCCCTCCTCATATTTTCGTTACGACGTCAAATTGTTTTCAAATTTATTGTCCTCCCCACCCCCTCATTTACATTAAATTTTGAGAACATTGTAGAACAAATGACGAAATAAGAAACACAATATGGCACTGGACAAGCGCCAAGGACATTATGATATAAGACACCTTGTATGGTGCTGATTTGACCATTCGGTGACGTAATAATCGTGACGTCATAACGGTCAATCAACGATGATTTTTAGGTGATTATCTGCAAGCCATGTTGAAAAATATGATAATTTTGATACATTAAAACAGCTCTTTCAATTTTAAAAGTTCCAAACAAAATGTAAAATAAAGTGATAGGATGGCGGAGCTCTTAGTATACCATGGCATTTGTACTTAGTGTGGATGGGTGGGTGAAATTTGTTTGAATTTTGTGACTTGGGGAAGACTTACATAGCATTCGTCCGTGGTGCGACGTCATGGGATTTTTCAATGGTGACGTCATTGGGACTGATGATGACGTCAAACCTGAAGCAGGCTTACGTAATAATAGATTTCTAATAAGACTGCCGGATGTTGAAGGCACAGGATCACGCTTTATTACAGAAATGTTCACACGCTTGCCTTCGTTGTTAGTAAACTGCTGATCAGGCTCTGGGAGGCAGGGGTTGGATCGTGTGCGCAACATTGGGGGACAATATGGCGCGCAAATTTGGGGTTTACCGCCAGGAATTGGAGCTGATGCGCACAACCGTTTCACAGTTAGTCCGTTACCGATTCCAGTTGGATCTGAAAGTTTGCGTTTATGTCCGATGGCGGGTGGTTTTGGGCTAGACTCAATGTTAGCCTGCTTCAAGACTTTTCCATTGTCACAGGGGACATAGACCGTTGGAGTGGGGGATCCTGGGATCTGCACCAACCATAGTCCACGTATGCATTTAAATTTGACCATACGCCAAACCCCGTCTGGGCACTTGAATGGCATGGTTGTGCTTGAATCATCAATATCACAGCAATCTGTTGAAAGCAGCGCTTTTTCTAGCTCTTTTTGACGCTCTTTACCAAGACTTGAGCTTTTTAACACAGAGGGTGGTGAAGGTACATAGCCATTGAGTGGTTCTGGTTTTATTGTTGGACATTTGGGTTGAGGGGTGTTTTCCATGTTTCGAACCACAGGACCAGTTTGTAATAATGTCCTTATTTCGTTTGAGCCAGTTGGCGGTTGATCTGTGGCTCCGTTTCTGAATGCAGCATTTGTTCTTGGCATTGTAATAGTTTGTGCAGGCTTTTGTTGAGGTGATGGCTGGAATTGGGGGGCTGTAGGGGTTTGACTTGAAGTCTGGGGGGCTTGAAACACATGGTTTTGTGTCGTAGATTTTTGTAAGACGTGTGTATTCTGAGTCTGTTGTGTGGAGAGATAGTTTTTCATTGCATTTTCAATGCTGGTGTTGATCATGTTTGGGGCTTGTATTGTGGGCTGGTATAAACCGGTTGCAACCGGTATAGGGATGCTGATATACTGGTTTAAACTCGGTATGTACGCATTGTACATTGGAGCATAAACAAATTGATCTTTAGTCATGTATTGTGGAACCATTTGAGGCGGGATGGCTACGACAGGACGATCAAGTCTTTGTGCTTCAATTGGGACAGGTTTCACGACCGCGACATGTCGCTGCGGAACATTTTCAAACGTCTGTGGAACGGCGTCTAAAATGGCGGCAGCATCGGAGAGCAGCGAGAGAGATCTGTAAATAAATGACGTCAGTTACTTTAAAAATCGGCGTTACGGGGGTAGGGAGGGTTATTATCGGACATTGTATTTATACTAGGAAATACATCACGACGATTATTACAGGTCAAAGATTAAATTACTTGGAATTTGACCGGTTATCGGACCGGAAACACCCACGCTTACAGGAAATGTTACGATTCTACGGAAAACCTCCCAAAATATTTGCGTAGCGATAAGCGCGACAAAATAGGAAGAAAAATAAAAAGCACTTTTGTGCTTTCGTCAAGATTCACAGAGAAACACGGGCTTGGCAATAAAATGTTTAATTTAGGTTCATGGATAAATTGATTTTTAAAATCAGAATTGCAGTTTTATTCCCTTTACGCCAAGAAGTCCGCAAATTATACAGATCTATGCAATACCACATTCAACTAAAATGGGAAAATAGGAGTTGCATCTAACACTGATATGTTTATGTACAAGGTGGAAGCATGTCGCGAATATTCGGAAAAACTGGAGTCAACACTGTCACGTAAATTTATTGATCATTGGATCATAATTGACAATGATAATAAAACCTACCTTGCCGCGTTATTGTTCGTCTTGTAGCCGTTGTGGTTTTCAAATTGATTCGCCGTTTTTGTGATTTTGTCCGGGTGAGATGACGATTCTGTACTTGACAAGGAACAATTCTGAAAACGAATTATAAATAAATTATTCAACTTTACTAGGCATAGGTAATGATCTGTTAAATTCTCAAATGCCAAGACCCCGTATTTTTTTCATCTATTCGTAATTCAGAACCTCCGTGGGTATCAAACTATCATATTATTCATATCGAGTCGTGTTAAATGTGAAAAAATATATCCGACTTACGCACGGACTATCGTTGGGTCAGATTCGTAGAAACATTTCGAGTATCTACCATCGTCTAATAAATCGAATAGGGATCTTTTTGCAAAAATGTAAGATTTGAGAAAAACTCTTCCGCCACGTTTTAAAATAAAAAAAATTAGGGGGCTCCCGAAGTATGCGAACCAAGATGGCGGACATCGGAATGTAATATGTGTACTAGGTTAGGGTTAGGCCATAATTTTAGATATAAATACTACGGGAGGCTCTTGGCTAGTCTTCGAACTGATAATAGGACTAAAATAAGGAAAATTGGAAAAAAATTATCGCCTAACCCTAACCTGTTACCCATGTTACGTTCCGATGTCCGCCATCTTGGTTCGCATACTTCGGGAGCACCAAAATTAGTAATTATTCAGTTAGGGTTAGGGTTTGAAAATTTAAATTTCCATCGCAATTGCATTCCCAGCCCTCACCATAACTGGATAATTAATATATTTTTTTTTCATTTTGATCGGTGGAGGGGGCTTTCTACAAAAGATCCACCGGATTCGATTTTCTATATTTATGAAAGCTCATAGAACATATTGGCTACTAGTCTGATGCCTTATTCGGAGCAAGAATATAAAAACATCATACAACAAAAAAGATATCTTACCCGCATTTCTAGCGCAGTCTCGTGTATTGGCTGTTGATACGTTGGAACTGTATGCATATCTCCGTTGGAAAATTGTTGCATGACGCCAGACTTTGATGACGACACTGATGACGTAAATAAATGCTTTTTCCTTCTCATCAGAAGCGGGTGTATCTCCCATGAATGTTGCGTCATATCGGATGGTGAAGTACATCGGAAAGCGCAGTGCAGACACTGAATATTAGATCCCGACGAATTTCTTCGTATAATGACGTCATCGTTTAGTGACGTCACCAAGAAATCATCTTCACTCTCTGAGTTTCGAGAGTTATCGTTCGAAACCATTTTACAGTTTTCTCCTCAAGACGAGTCTAGGTTTACTAAGTGAGTATTAGTTCTATAGTAAGCTGAAAATTTTAAAATATTTCATGAAGTTTGGTTTATATCACAATTCTGGAATAAAAAACTGTCTACACTGTCCACATGGTCTCGATCGAACACAAATATAAAAGTTCGGACTTGCCACCCCGGTACGTGGAGTTTTTTTTTACACTCGACTCTTCAAAACCGCGAGGTATCCATCGACCTCATAGAGTTACAACAATTTAACTCCGATCCAACAATCTTATGTACAAAGCCGCCGCCACAAACTGACAAATCCCAAACCCGAGATTTGAGATGTCGATTTGACTAAACCGCAAAAAACACGATTTTTATTCAATTTAAAACCACAAGCGTCACTAGCGAGTCAGCTATTGTCTATTTGTCATTTCAAATTTATAGTTTAAGGCGAAATAGTAGAAAACACAATTCTTTTTGTTACGATTCTCCTTGTGATTCAAAATATACAAGGGTTGTCTATTAGTGAATTCATTTTTCTAATTAAGACGAAATATCGACAATTCTAGCTCGATTAACACACTAAAGACACGATTCAAAATAATTTAAACCACTATTCTCCATCGTTAGACAATCATTACTGGTGAGTGTTTTCATTTGCAAGTTTATAAATACCAAACCCACGACACCGTCCTCGTTTCAACTCAGAATCACGCCACTGGCGAATTCGCTCCCAACGGGTTCAAAGTCCGATATTCTACTTAGCTATGATTCTTGATAAATATTTATCACTAAACCAAGTTTGTTAAGTATATACTGCGGCATTTATCTACACACCAAGCGTGGTGTTAGATATATCTTAATAAGTTACGACCCTACGTGCTCCCATATACTCAGGAAATAGCGGGTCGTTGACTCCAATGAACAAACAAATATAGGAAGAGGCGACTCAAACCCATGTTGTCATAAAACTAACAATTTGAAAATAGTCCAGAAAATTTAATCTTTGACTAGAATTCTTATTCTCATTGTTTTGCTTGGTTTTTGGTTATCTTTCTCTTCTTTTTCACTGTTGTTGCAAGGTTTTTCAAATAAGTTATTCCAGAAAAACAAATAATTTTGCTTCTCGATTCCGTAAAATGAAAGTTTCATCAAGCTCTCTCTCGCCATTAAAAGTTGCAAAATCCCGCCGACATACTCGAATTCTTGTTGTCATAAAATTATTAATTTTTAATTATTCCAGAAAATTTATTTCAAGCAAAAACGCAATTTTGTATCACAAAGGTTTTGCCACGTGTTATCACGCGCTCTTTAGCCTTTAAAAGTTGCAAATTTTGATGAGCATGGAATTGAAACCAGAATTTGCTTTTCGTTTTCACCGGAGGTGCAATCGCAAATGTGTAAAACTAAGCGGAATAAGCCAAATAGTGAAGAAATCAATAATTTTATGAGTGGCCACTACTCAAAAATCAATAACCAATAAACATGCAAAGATAGTAAATATTAATATTTTTTTATTGCAAGAAAGTGCACCCCCTACTTTATATATATCCGGGGTTAAATAGGTTATGTCGAACCGCGTGGATTCCGATATTTGCAAAAAATAGTTGCGGACTCGGAAACTCAATTTTATCAGTCACAAAACTGCCTTTTTTTTAATAATTGCAGAATATTTATTCCCAGAAAATGCGTAATTTCGCATACTTTTTGAAAGCTTGTTCGTTCCGAAAGAACAGTTGCAAGTCACTTTTTAGTTGAAGCCTCAAATCGAACTCAAAAATTGCAAATCTTGATTGGTTAAATAGCTGAAGAATCCTTATCGTGTGTAATTGTTTTTATTACATAAATAAAGTTATGGAACGCTATAAGCTGGCTTAATCTAAATCTTAAGCTAACGAGAACAGTAAAATTCGCGTCGATCCAAAGCCCTGGTACAGATTAAATAATAATCGAAGCGAAAAACACATTTTAATGAACGAATTTTCAAAATACAAACAGAGGCAAAATTTACGTTAGCCATTACTGGTCAACCACGCCACGCTGGCCAAAGTCCAAATTGACGACAGGTAAGACGATTGTGTTACGTCACAATAGCGCCGTCGTCTGCTACCGTTCAAAGGTCTTCTTGGTCTTATCAGTTACACAAACATATTGCTTGTTGACAGCTCTTGCTCATGGCCTTGGCTGTATGTAATCTGTTGTTGAAACTGTCACGTTCAAACGATAGAGTATAGAGAAATTGTTGTGCGTCAGCGTCATCTCGTAACTGAAACATCTCGAGTGTTTTTCGCGTTGCAATTCACATATTATACGGGTATTTACTCTAATTCCACTGCGGTTTAAGAATAGTTATAACTATGTATGTGTATAGATGATACAGTTCGTTGTAGAAGAATTTTTCTCGCCATTAATTTTGACATCGAATATTTAATTTGGTTTCTATTCGGATCAAAATTATGAACTTTCAATTCAATATCGTTTCGGTATCGATGAACAATGTGAACTCAGGAGAAACTCGGCAATTTCGATCATTAATTCTCCCAAAAACAACTTTTAGAAACGGCTATAATTCCAAATTTCGCGTACACTGGATAATCTCATTCGAATATTCAGGCTTTAAAATAAATTAGCCTTTTATTTATCTTATATTGGACACTACCAACCGAAATAACAGAAAAAATAGTAATTTCTTAACAGCCATGATTACTGAGCACTCGAAAGTTCTTTTTTATACATTAATATTAAAACAAAATGAAACATCTCGCGTCAGAAAATAGAATTATTTTTTAGAATAAATAATTAGGCCGTACATTTTGTAATTTGGGTGCGGTTCATGAAACCTTATTTCAAGCTTGACCACACGACTAGATTAGGAAACAAGAGAAAGGTAGTCAATAGCAACGCAGTTCCGGAAGTAGTTCAAAGGTCGATTACTGATCGCGCCATTTGTTGCTGTTTTTCGAAATTTTAAAACACTACTCTCTGGTCAAGTACTATTAGCATTATGCGTAAATTTAAACAGAATTACGAGAATGAGTCAGAGAGACGTGGCGACTGTCACGGACGCAGTCTAATGACCGATCGCCAATAATGAATGATAGACATCTTTGCAATTTGGTTGTTATAATTTTTTCGAGTTCGTAAATTATTGTCTTTCTATTTAAAAGAAATATAAACAAGGATTAAGAGTAAAAATTCTAATAGAATGGAATTAAAACACAATAATTATTTTGCACGAGATCCGTCCAGGCAGACACGGGTACGCACAAAAAAATGACAATGTTTCAAAACACTATCTGGGATAAACAGCTATACAGTAAAACAGTTTACAAGAGCGGTTTCAGAAAATATAAATATTTGCTCCGGGTACTCGCAAATATTGTCATGGTAGGAAAGAATTAAAACCGTAAATTTAGCCGCCTAGAACAAGTCAAAACTAACCATTGGACATCAACAATGAGTTACTCCCATGCCACGCCCATCGCGCTATAAATGAGTCACTGGATCAATAATTTTACTGGCGATACATTGCCTTACGTCAAACGAAAGAGAGTAAAGTCGTATGATCATTTTTTCATGGCTCGAAAGAAACAGTTGATTGTCACCAGAATTGTATCAATTTTCTAAAGCAGTGGTTCCCATACACGGTGGGGCGCGCCCAGGGGGGGGGGGGGTGGCATAGACAATTTATTGAGCGGGCGTGAAGCTAATTGAAAATATAAATATGGATTAGATTTAACCTTGCCCGCCTTGTTTTGGATTTCACATTTTAAAACTTTCCAATTATTTCATTATTTACGTTTCATCCACATAATTTCAACGTTTTTTTTTTTTTTGAAAAACATACTTCCGTGTGACTATCTGTTATTTGTAGCTTATTGTTAGCTAGTTATTTTTGAGGTGGGGCGCGAGACTTGACAAATTCTGAAAGGACTTGAAAAGTTTGAAAACCACTGGGCTAAAACATGATCTTAATTTAACGACTTTTGAATCGAACTAAAATCGCAATCGGATCGGGAAAAGTATCGTTTAAATATTTTCCGCCGAATCGAGTACATAAAATTAAAGTTTAAAGTCAGACCCGAGTCTAGCACTACTAAATAGTCGAAAATACCAGTGATAATGCACGCAATTACAAAGTAAAATATCCTCTCCTAAACAAGTAAATTCCACCTAGTTTGGGAAACCCTAAACCAGGGGTGTGCAAACTGCGGCCGCGGAGAAGTGCAATTTTGAATGATGTTCGGCCCACGGAACGAGTTTTTAATTTAGTTTAATCTGGTATGTGAGAGTAATTCCAATCTTTTACAATGCCCTAACGGCTAGCTTGTGCGAAGTGAACGACGCATGTCATAAAATCAATAACCAAAATTTTTGTGCCTGCAACTACCAGAAAACCGGCCCACGATTCCACCCAGTTCTTCGTATTCGGCCCTTCTGTATTAAACGTTGCACACCCCTGCCCTGAACTATTTTGTCAATTTTTGCACGTCTACATACACGGGGTCATTTATGCTAAGTATGATGAAATTGAATTAAAAATGTTCAATGGACTTACTGAGCAAAGGTCGCCGGAAATGAGCAGGCTTACACAATGAACGCGGCTCAGGTTTTGATACAGCGTCATTCTAAATCAAGTCTAAAGGTTGAAATTTTTAGGATTCTAAATTTACTTGATTAGATGTCGGGATCATTTGCCTTATTGAACGAGTGGGCTCGTTTTTGGACCACAAGCCCAGCGGGCGATGTAAGTGTGAAAACTTACATTCTATGGAAAATATTTACAGTACAGTATTGCAAAAGAAAAAGTGGGAAACAAAAAGCCTCGTGCTAACCTAAATTTAATCGCAATCTCAACAAATTTATTGAGCCATTTTTTCAGCTAAAAGATCAAACTTTGGTTTTACTTTGGTTGTGGCAACATCGGGAAGGCCAGATTGAATTACTCACGGGCCGGATTCGGCCCGCGGGCCATAGTTTGCCCATGTCAGCCTTCATGTGTTTTGATTAATTTTTGTTCGTTTGAGTACTAAATGAAGACCGTGGTCTGTTCTAACAAATTCTATGT